AAAAACATTTCTTATTAGTTTTGCTCAGATGGTTTGAATTATTTTATCAGGTTTTAAAAGTACCTTTTTTTAAAATAAACTTTACTTTCATGTTTAAAACCTGCAGCAAAAATCTTCTTTAAAACCCATAAAAATATTCTTATAAATCAAAACCTTATTTTTATTAAACATCTTCAGTTTTAAACTGAAGGTGAAAAAGAATAAAAAGATGTAAAAACGTCCGTCAGACCGTCGGCTCCATTTGTTGACAAGTAAAAACATGAATTTATTTTATTTTACTTAAAGAAAACAATAAAACCGTTTGAGAATAAAGCAGGAAATTAAACTTTGAAAATAAAAAATATGATTATTTATCTCTATTTTTAGTCCTGTTTGTTTTTTCACACTGAAGGAAATAAAACTCCATCCTGACGGATGATTCTGTCCTTAAAATCTGCTTTTCTTTTATATTAAAAGCTCCTTTAGAAAAAATAATCGGTTCTTCAGAGCGAGTAAAAAGAAGAATCGGTCCATCAGATGGACAGTTATTTACAGACAGGATGAACTAAACTAAATAAAGACAGAYAGAAAGGAAGTAAAGTTAAAATAAAGTTTGAGTGTGGAGGAGGGAAAACCTCGCAGGAGGGAGGGGCTGAGTGACTGACGGTCCAGGAGGGCCAATGGCAGACAGGCAGGAGGAGGAGCCAATCAGAAGGCCTGCTGGGTGGGAGGAGCCAATCAGAAGGCCTGCTGGGTGGGAGGAGCCAATCAGAGGGCCTGCTGGGTGGGAGGAGCCAATCAGAAGGCCTGCTGGGTGGGAGGAGCCAATCAGAAGGCCTGCTGGGTGGGAGGAGCCAATCAGAAGGCCTGCTGGGCGGGGTTGTAGTTGAAGGTGGAGGGAACATGAGGTCGCTCTTCTAGTTTGTCGTATTCCAGATGAAACTCCTGGAAACAAACATTTGTTTAGTTTCTAAAAGCTGAACTTCAACTTCAGCTGAAGTTTGAGAAGCTAAACCTGAGCTGCGACAGAGGTTCTGTTGGACCCGGTTCGTTTGTACCTTGGCCACTTTCCTCCAGTTCAGACAGTCGAAGAAGTAGTAGGTCCCTCTTTCGTAGGCGTTGGTCTTCAGCGTGGGCTCCATGCCGGGGGCCCGGGTGATCCAGACCCGCTCTTCTTTATGGTACCTCCAGTCCCTGTTGAACCTGAAGACAGGGACCAGTTTAGTCCCACAGTGTGGAGGGTCAGGGGGCTTTAGGTCTGGGTTCTGTCTTACAGTTCTACAGCAGCCAGAAGTTGTAGCAGGTCTCCTCCGTTCATGTAGTAAAGATAAAACAGCAGATCTTCTCCGTACCGAGACAACTTGATGGCTGCTAACTGCACACAAATATAATATAATATCTAATAATAAATAAAAACACAGTTCACTCAGCCGTTTAAAGACGTCTCTGATCGGGTCAGTACCTTGTCCCGTATGTGGATGTTGGTTAAATACTCTGAGGGAACATGGAAATCTGCAGAGAGACGTTAAAACAGTTCAGATAATCTGCAAAAATTAAAGATAATTAAAGCTGCAGTTCTGAACTTTCACCACCAGAGAGCAGAAAAACTCCACGAAAACAAGAAGAAATAAAACTGTTTTGTCTGATGAACACATCAGAACACTTATAAATAAATGTTTATTTAGGTTCTGGTTCAGCGGCAGGAAGTTACTAAAAGAAAACAAACACAATGATAAATTAATAACTAATTTAAATGAAAATTTACCGATGTCCTGCGGCCGACACGGCGCCGATGCCCACGGAGACGCAAACTTCGGATAAAGATTTCTGACAGGAACACAAACAAACAAACAAACAAACAAACAAACAAACAAACAAACAAACAAACACAGTTACATGATCACCCACATTTCTTTCCTCAGCTTTTCTTTAAGTTTTTTACTAGTAAAGTTTAAAGGGCCTGTGACATCAAATTTTTGTAATTAATATGAATGTATTTTTGCAAAGATAACATTGATAACATGCTGCAAATTAAATTTCACGTTGCTGAGATGAACGGTTGTTGAGATATTGGCATGTGAAGAAACAGGAAGTGATGTCACAGGGGAATGTCTGCATGTAAACAGAGTTGTTACAAAAGGCAACAACACAGACTGTAGAGAAGAATCTGATGTTTCTTTAGATTATTTTCAGTTGCTATCAGAGAGATAAAGAAGAGTTAATGTTTAAATAATTTTGTTTAAATAAACAAAGACCAGAGTTTATTTTATTAATGAGTTCTCCTTTGATGTCACTTCCTGTTTCACTTTGGCTGAGCCAAATTTGAAAAAAAAATAGGCCAGTTATGAGACAAAATGGGTAAAATCATGTGTACTATGCTAATTTTCTATTTTAAGGATAGGCATGTCACAGGCACTTTAAACATTACTGTGTGTGTGTGTGTGTGTGTGTGTGTGTGTGTGTGTGTGTGTG